TAACTTTTGCTGTTGCAAATGATTTTTCATATAATTAATAATAAATCTTATTTATATCATCTAACTGTACTTAAAAAATGTAATAAAAACTATACCTTTCGTTGTAATATGGCATCACTTATATTCCCCTTCCTTATTTAATTTAAAATATGCAGCATTATAACTTGTGTCAGAGTTCACATACCAATCTTATCACATCCCTTCCAATTTACTTCCTCATTTCATTCTTGTCTATCTATCACTGGAAACGTTGTAATCGTGTCAATGTAATTCACTAACTATTACCTAAATATTGTTGTTGCAGTGATTAATAAATGATTCGGAGCTAATGAGTTACCATTTCGACTCCAGGTAACTCACAAATAAACAAATCATCGAAAATGCTTGAAAGTACAACGCATTACTGCTACTACGCCAACACTGATACTGATACTCTGAGAGAAAGAGAAATCGATGAAGATGAATTCATTTCTGAAGACGGTCAACTCAATGACGAACAAAAGAAGTGGGCTTGTCAGAGAATCGCTTCAAAAGTTATTAAACAGCACCGTGATGGAAATGCAAAATGCTCCTGGTATAGAAGACAACGGAACAATTGGCAACTGCGATGAAAGTATGAGCCTTTGTTCAGTTTTAGAAGCGATTTTTCTCCATGGACTAAAAGACAGTCTGTTAAATCGAGTTACGGAAGTATTGAGCGGCCCAGACTTCGATGCAGTGCCTCAACCAAGCTTCTGGGGTCCTTTGCTAGTATTCTCCCACAGGCAAATCATAGATCATATTCAAGGCTTGGCTCAACTTACTACGGAAGTAGGCTACTGCAGAGCTTGGATAAGATTAGCTCTAAACGAAGGCCTGTTAGCCAGTTACCTGTGCTCTATACGTAGGGACAATTCTGCATTGAAACCTTATTACAATAAATCGGCATTTATCAGAGACAGCGATTTCGTGGAAGTAGCGCAACGGTTAATCGAGAGTTTAGATCGCGTGAATTTTCAGCTGGCCTGCAATACTAGTTTATTAAACTTCTGGTCAACTACTCCTCTGTTGTTAGCCGGAATATGGTCGCCGCCAATGAAGTCCTGCCCTGTTTTTAGTGCTGTCGATATTGCTAAAACTATAACCACAGTGATAACAGATGAAGAGAACCTAGATGAAGTGGAAACAGCCAGCTCTATAGGCAGTTTGAGCTCTTTCAACTCCTCTCAGTATGGTCTTAATAATATAACAGAGGATGAAGCATTGAAAATCATATTGGCTAACAAGAAATCGAATAATACTGTTGAACAGCGGCTAATGATGAATAACGCCAGACATACTCCACCTCTGAAGGAAGAAACAGAACAAGATGTGCAACGTGGAGAAGAGGGCCGGGATAATGATAACAGTCCGAAAAATATTCATACGGATACCAAAATTGAGAATAATTCTGTCGCTTCAAACGTTTGCGAAGGAAACATTGTGGAAGCTAATGGATCTTCAAACGAACAAGTCAATAACGGGTCTCACGATGTAGCAACTACAGTTGGTAACTCGTTAATTGGAAGAGTAGGCTGGTCGACGTCTTTCGAGGATTGTGAATCCTCTTTAACTGCCTCTATGATTTCTCGAGACTCGGATGCTCCTCGTACACCAGCTGATGGACCAACTTATGATGCGATTATTCAGAGTTATCATAACGGTGGAAACTCTTCCATACCGGATCTAGAGGAGTTCTTGAAGAAATATCCTAAGAAGGAGGAAGCTATTGATGAAACTAGAACTCAAGTGGATAGTAAGGTATGTATAATTGATACAAAATCGGGATTTTATATCTCGGTCCATACTCGGTAAAAAATGTCTGTTGACAATAATAATAGAAAGAGTACATATTAAATTAATGTGATGATTGTAGGACTTGTAATTTTATTTTGTTATTAATTTTTGAGGTTGAAATAAACTTTGATGAACAGCTTGGTAAGCTTCCCAGAGAAAAAGGCTTAGACATTCAAAACTATAGCTGCTTCGACTGCGGTCACGCCATTGGTATGACCTTCTCCAAGGCTTATGTCTGCTCCTTCTCCAGTTATTACTATTGTTCCACCTGCATGTCTGAAAATGAGTACTTGATCCCATCCAGAATCATTCACAATTGGGAACTCAGGCACTGTCCTGTTTCAAATAAAGCTGCAGCTTATTTAGAAAATTGTCCGAAACTATTGGACTTAAAAGTATTGAATCCGAAGATTTACAGTGTCGTGGACACTATGGCTCAATTGCAATGTTTGAGGATACAATTGAACTTGTTGAGAGCCTATTTGTTCACCTGCCGCGAGCCGATAATCGAGTCGTTGCAGAAAAAGGTCGCACCAAGGGATTATCTCTACGAACATATTCATCAATATTCTGTCTCGGATCTCTTTGATATCCCTAGCGGCGCTCTGGTACAACAACTGCAAAAAGTCGTGCAGTTTGCCAGAAATCATGTCATCAATTGCTGGCTGTGCAGTCAAAAAGGTTTCATATGCGAGATTTGTAATAATCCGAAGGTCATCTACCCTTTCGATGTAGAAACAACATACAGGGTGAGTTTATGCTTCAGTAAACTGTGACTAATTTTCTAAATATTAAATGGGAAATTAGTTTCATCAAACCTTATGTAAATGTAAGCGTTGAACAATCAAGTATTAAGAGGATGAGGCGGTTCGAATATAAACGAAATTATATTGTGTTTAGGGCTTGATTCAAACTAATTAACTCTTTAATTGAATTTAACATCAATTGGCAGCGTTTGGTTTTTTATTCGGATTTGGCTNTAACGATTAAATTTTAATTCTTCGTTAAAGAATTCTTCAATTATCGATTGAGATTTAGAGAAATTTAGTCGTTTATTAATATCTGCAATTTATGAAATCTGCAGCCCGTGTGCCTGTGTTCAAACTACAATTGGCGATTTCTTACGAACAAGTAAATCTATGAAACAAATGAAAACACACATTCTCATGTATAAGAATAGAAAAATTATTTCTGAAAGACAAAAGCAAATTTCATGTTTAATTTGTAGACTAATAGTTCCTTTATTATTAACTGTATTACTTTTGTTATATTTGATTCTAGTGTGGAGCTTGCAACGCAGTATTTCACTCGGATTGCTTAAATGCTAGCAAACCGTGTCCAAAGTGTGAAAGAAGGCGCAAAAGAATGGACCTTCCATTACTGGACGTTGGATGTACATAATTATCAATACAAACAAAGAAGTACATATTATTAATTTAACAACAAGCTATGTACAATAATATTAACACTCACTTGTAAATAATTATTCAATCAATAATTGTACAAATTACTGTGTTTGATAAACACTGATTTTGATCTGGACGATCGACTTCGATTTGGGTAATCTTCGAGTTTTTACGAAAAAATGAATTCACCTGTTTGTGTAAAAAGAATAATAGATAAAATATAAAATGTAAACGTCTTTATCTTATTTTAAAGCAGATAAAAACTTTTGCACTGATTCAATACAATGTGTAAAATATATCCACAGGTTTACAATCTTTTTCTAAACATGTAAAAATCAGTCTTTCAATGATGATTTCAATTTTTATTAAAAACTCTATGTATAAAAGATGCAGTAAAATATATTATATACAAATCGTTTGTCGATTGATTTTTTGTACTGTATTAATTAATAATACTGTTGTTATCGTCGGTGCAAGTTTTAATTAAAAAAATTACGCTTTTATTAATAATATTCGCAATAAGTACGCAATATGAAATATTCAAATTTGCATATGCTGTTGTTTTTAAACATTTCTGTCACTCAAATCCAAAGAAAATGATTCTTTCGCAGAATCATTTGTTCCAATTTTCTATTGGTGGTATCGCTTTATAAGTATAAATTATAATAACTATCATATCACATGATTACCAGCCACCAACAATAAATATTGAATATAGAAATTGATGTTGAAGAAAAGTTAAAATATCTGTTGTATTTTACATTATGTTAAATTTATTACAGTATATGCAAAATTGATTTCTACACAACACGCTATAAATGATGATTGTAATAATCTTAAAAAAAAAAAAAAGTGCAGCTTAGAATGTAATGTTATGTATTTCATAGAGACTAGAGATAATTTGTTTTTTTTTTAAAGCAGTACAAACTTGTTTAATTATAAGTCGCCTGAACATACGTAAAAAGAGAAATTGTGAAAAAGAGATTTCGATAAACGATCAATTATTTCTCAGTATCGCTATTCTTACACAAATCTCAAACTTTCACGTACAATGTAATAAATTGTTCGTAGACCTTGGAATTTTATGTAAATTCTTATTTTTACAAATAAAATTAAAGAAACGATTTGTTTTCTTTAAAGTTTCTATATTGTATTTTACTTCGGGTCTGTTCTATTTCCTTACATATTACCGCATACTGTATTTTTTTGAATTATATAAAATTTTTATAAATTCATAAACATCCACAATGTAATTATTATCTTATAAATTAGTTTTGTACATGTATTTCTATTTTATTGTGCAAATATAGTATTAATTTATGCACCGTATAACGTTTTTTATCTTCTCTAGATTCTTTTTTAACTTTCCTTACATATATAATGTCTTAATAATATTAATTCTGTTTTTTGATACTTTCAGTGATATGTATAAAAATCAGATTGCAGTCTCAATTAACACGCCCTTAAGGAAAGACGTTTTACGTAACTACGTGGATATCGTGACAGAGACATATCAAATTTGAAAAATTAATTTATTAATTGTATATTTATTGTGTTAAATTCTTCAGTTATTTTAAATCCAAAATATCCATCGATTTTGAATATTAACGATTTCACACTATTGTTTTTATTAATAATTACTACTTTTACATTAATACTAAACTGATGATACGCTATCCATACTCTAAACAGAGTGATACCCAGGTAAAGTAATAAATAACAAACGTTGAGAATTATTCAAAAGTCTCTTAATATCGATTATATAGGAATCATCGAATTATTAAAATGCATTTAATGGAATGAACTATTAAAATGTATTTAATATTATTCTGTCAAGTTACACTCATAATATTTGTATTTATTAACTTCAGTAAGAATATCTAGTACGAAGTAGAACGACGATTAATACAGACAGATAAATCTTCAGTTTCCTCTGATAGTAGACGGAAAAACTAATCAGAAATTCTAGCCCTCATCGCTTATTAAGGGGGAAAAAAAAAAAAAAATGGAAATTAATTAAAGTCAATGCAACGTTTTTGGAAAATAGGCAGACGGTAATATCGGTTTGTCGGTGAAACCAGTCCTCCTCAATCCACCTTGAAAATTACTGCTCATACCTTTATTTTTCGTCCCATTATTAGTTGGCACAGCCATATTATTGTTTTCAGTAGCTGGCACTGAAGAGGAGCCAGTCCCTACATTCCCAGGTAATTTATTTAAAGAATTAATACGCTCGAGAGGTGTGCTGGTGCTGGATATGTGTCCGCCCTTGTTAAAAGTCGATATACCTATCGTGCTATCAATATTATTACCAACTGCCGTCGAACGTGCTGTCGGACGACTCGTTTGATTGATATTAGGATTTTGGACGATAGGATTCCTTAATGGTAACCCAGATTGTACTGTAATAGGTGCTGGTGTACGCGTTTCATACTTGCTTGAGATGTATTTGTTAGTTCTGGGTAAAGTTAGCTGAATTGTTGATGGTACAGTGATGGGAGCTGATGTTGTAACGTTTTGTAGTGGCGACTGAGTGTCTGCTAATCGTCGATTCAGCCAACTGATCACTGCAAGATAAAAGTTCGAATCATATATTCTGAAAGTTACTGAAGGTCCTCGTTTAAAATATTTTTTATAAGAATTATTATTTTAGAAGAAATCGAATTAGTTCCAATTATGTGTCCAACCCTGTATACTTCCCATATAATACGATGTTCATACAATAAAGGTTTATATAATAGAATGCTCACATAAGGTGTTCATATAACGAAAATTATACTGTATTATAATTACCATTATCATTGTTCTTGATTATTTTCTCCTTTTCTTCTAATTGACCCTGTAATGCCTTCACTTGTTCCTTCAAATTCGCTACTTCCATTTTTGCATCTTTCGTTTCCTTTATCAAACCCTCCATTTTAGTTTCTAACTGACCTACTTCTTTCTGTTTAGTATCCAACAATCTCTCCTGTTCGAGAGCTATACTAGTTCTTAATTTCAATTTAGACTTAGTCGAAGCCAATTCGTTTTGTAATTTAGTTAATATCTCATTTGCTTTAACTAGTTCATCGCTCAAATTACGCAGGGAGTTCTGTTTTCGTTGCACTTGCCCTTCCTTTTCATTCAAAAGTTCCTCGAGTTGTTGCTTTTGTTCCTTGGCTGTTTTAAACATCTCCGTATGCTTAGTAATTAATAAACCTTTATCTTTCAATTCTTGCTCGAGTACAGCCACTTTAGTCCTCAAACTATTAACCATCTTGTCCTTTTCATGATAATCAGTATCAAGTTTCGCGTTCTGCGTTCTCAATAAACTTAAATCCCTTTGGACAACGTTCAACTCTTTCTCCACGTTTTGTAACTGCTTAAACTGTTCTATGTTGGTCGCTTCTAAGAGAGATATTTTGTCTTTGTAAGTTAAATTCTGTGTACGCAGCTCGGCCAGTTCTGTATGAAGTTCTTTTACGATATCTGTATGTCTACGTTCCGCTTCAATCTTTTCTTTCTCCGTTTGACACTGCCACTCCAGCCTAGCCTTGGCAAATCTATGGACACACATTTAATACGTATTCGATGTACATGTTAAAAATTTCTTATTCATGATAAATTTCTGTTAATTATGGAACAAACAAGTACGTGCAATTATTAATTCTAGACTGCGAATTTTAAACATTTACACAAAAAATTGAATATGCAAAAAATATAAAGAATTCATGTAGCGTGCAAAAATGTGCAATGTATCAAAATACGCATCATTATTTTTAGAGGATAAAAAAACTTCAATATGTATATATTGTATTTCTTAAGTCAACGTTATAAGTGTTTTATTTTTGATAAAAATTCGCACTCTAATTATCTCGTATAGTGTCTTAATCTAGATTTGAGTATCTTAAGTACCTGTCTTTCTCCAAACTAATCTGTTCTGAAGAAGATAATTGCATTTGGCTCTTTTCCATTGCATATTTTTGCTCGAGCTGTTCTAACTCTCTTGTTTTGGTCTCAACCTTGCTGGACAAGTCATTCAATCTTGCTTCAAGTCCCAACGTGTCCCTATTCCTTTGAATTAAAGTCTCCTTCAACTGTTTTATCTTCATAGCCATGTGGGTTTTCAAATCTGAATCACTCGCTGGTGATATGGTTAAACTTAAATGACATAAATGCTTGAAATTGTTTGTCTCTACAAGCTTGAATACCCATTCTCCACTTTCTTCTGCTAAGAGCAGTAAGAATTTTGGAGGTGTCTTCATTATAGATGTCGTTGAAGGAATTTGACATTGTTCTAGCAAATATATTAACTGTGTAGCAAAGTTATCAAAGTCAACAAGTAATCCTTGTTGGGACTTCAATACTTTAAAGTCATCTTCAGTTATGAATAAAGAGTATAGGAAACAAGGGTCATCGTCATCTGCTAGTAGAACACATAAACTCTAAAAAATAAGAATGTACACATGTAAGACAAGCGACAGGATACATGAATATTTATGAGGCAAAGCAAGTTTAATCGTTTAATTTACAAATTGTAAGATCCAGATCAAAATTCAGATTACTTATTAATTTTCTGCACAATATATAGGTTAACACAAACAATGTTTATTCTTTTACCTTGCGACATACGGGACTAATACCAGCATGAATTTCCACGTTAACTCTTAATTCTCGTTGTCGTTCCTCCTTATGCTGCGGCTTCATGTAAACCCGTTGCACTTTTGTATACAATATTTCGACATTGTTCAACTGCAAACTAGAATCACCATTGCAACTGGAATTGTTCAGATAATTCATTGTACAGCCATTCGTTAATCACGTGACACCCGGTACTTAAAATAATAGTAACCACGCGTGTCAGACGGCTTTCGTCTCATTTGTCAATATTTTATTATCTAAAAAAAGGTTGATTACTTGAGCTTTCAGCTTATTTCAAATTTTGTACGAAACTTGTGTTTAGTAGCGTCACACGTTACATCGAGTAGTGACATCTGATGGCTAGAGGCGCGTCGAAATGCTCCAGAAGACAATTTAATTTTTAATACTACATTTTAATACAGTATGGCGATGATGTGCTACAGTCTGTTTTCCCGCGCATTAAGGAGAGCTTAAAGTTGATTGGTAAGTTAGCAGAGAACGAACCAATAGGATTCGAGATTGGCGTGACGTATCGTTTAAAAGGCTATATACATACACATTACTGTGTAATGTATCATCGCGATTTTACGGACAGCTCTGCACACTGCGAGCCACAAAAAAGGATGTGAACGAAATCACAAGTTCAAGATGGCGGCCTGCATGGGAAGCTGCTGTGCATGAGCAGTTAACGGCATCTGCTTCTACACATGCGCAAGAACTTTTCATACAAGGTACCATATTGAATTTGAGGTTTCATTCATGTCCTGTTTTTGGAGTTATACGGTCTCCAGACCTATGTATGAGATCGTGCTAGCTATGTGTACATACTATCATACAGTGTTGAGTTGTAACCGCGGTTGGTCGCCATGCCATGCGGTTCTTTCCCTATTTCATAATTTTTGCTCATTGTAAACGTCATTTAATAATTACCTATCGTACTTTCCAGTCTGCGTGGGTCAAGTGCGGTGGTAGTGTCGTATTTGCGAGTGAGATATAATTGAGTGTTAAACAGTGACATCACAGTGAAAAGTGAGGTTGGATACATGGCAGTTACGGTTTGAATTTGGACGAGGCAAGGCATGTTTCAACTTTCATTGATTTTGATTTAAACGTCGTAGTTATATAATTTGTCTCAAATTAATTATATTGAATATTAAACAAATTGTAGTAAACTTTTATGCCTCTTAATAATATTTCATCAAGTTCTACGTAACACGTAATTCAACCGATTTGAATTTTACTTGTAACGAGTAGCGAAAGCTGAACTGTTACATCTCTCTTGTGTAAATTTAGAGTCTTATGGTATGTTATACTTGTGTCCGTGTGTATCTAATTTAAATGTTTGTGGGAATCCCGTATGTTATCTTTGTGAACTCTATATTTTATCCGCTTGTGCTGCCCTCTTAAAATTCTGTTTAAATTTTAACTCTTCTACCCTAAACTTCTACCAGACGGATATTTCTATATAGAAGGTAGGTAAAACTTACCTGCATATAAGTGAAATTCAATTAATCTGACGGCTCAAACTTGCTTTCGGGACGTTACCTCATCCCTTGATTATTCGACTAAATCAATATTTTTTATGTCATTATAATAGTACACCAGATCTGTTCTGTCTGATGTACAACATTCTATTTAATATCATTTGAATTTGTATTCGACTATTATCGTTGATTTTACGATGACTTACAAAAAATTACTTCATTCGTTTTATACTTTTAAGCGATGCTACTAGATCTTCTCACGAAATGCAGCATTTGTAATTCAATAATGAAGAATCAACGGCTATAAAGCATTTTAAATTCGTGAAAGAAAATTGCCATTTTGAAATAATACTAAAATTTAGAATGTATTTACATAAAAAATTTCTATGGAATTGCATCTGCATGAATCCTGTAGAGGTGACAAAATTACCAGTACACGGATCTGACTTAAATAACTAACATAATGAAATGTAATAGAATGGGGGTGTAACTTCATCTGTCTTAAATATCGATTAACGACATTTGATATAGTAGGAGTTAGAAACTCTACTTTTTTCAATTTTACTTGAAACTCAAACTTGTTTCAATGCTTGAATTAAAACAATGCTTGACTCTAGCAAAACTGAGAATTAATGTTGTAGAATAAAAGCACACGGGGGAAACATAGATAAATGTATATCTGTCGAAAGTATCGGAAGAGTTCGTTTTGATATTTGATTCAGGAAGCAAATGCTGCAAGACTTTGAAGAGATATGCCAGTATCTCTCAAGTTGCCTTTAAGATCCGATTGTTGTCGACGTGCGATATTATAAGTACATACATACGTATACATGTTACATCTAATAATGTGTGTACTAATGATGATATAAGGTAAACAATATTCGTATGATGTTTTAACAATACATCAAGTAGAAAGTATGTAAATTATGTTAGGAATTGTTACATCAAATATTTATTATAGATTCAGTACTTATAAAAATTACATTTTATCTTGAGGCTTGCTAAATATGAAATTTTACGATATC